TTTAAGAGCTGCCACTCACGGAGGAGGTTAGAATGCGACTTGAGACCCTCTTGAGTCTGCCGATGATTAAGACGCCCTATTCGCTTGGTTGTGGTTTTGCATCCGAGTAAATAATCCTGTGCATTGCAAATTAAGACTAGGGATATGGACCCAGTGCGTGTGCGACATTACGATGTTGCACACGCGCTCGATGAGGACGGCGATGTCCCCATATGAGGAAAGCCCTTTTTCCATTATTGTATAAATACAATTGACTATTTGAAAAGCTATCTTGGACACTGTTTCCTTAACGTGCTTTTTTTCGGCAATAGCATCTTGAGGAACACTGGGACAGCAGCTCTGAACACGCTGAAAGATTAAGAATGTAATGCAGACTGAGTACCCAGTTCCATTTTAAACTGACGTTTTGGTTTCAAAGTTAGTACACATGTGGCTTTAAGGTGGTTTGAAAAAGCATATTTTCCAGACGTATCAATAAACAACCATGAAGAACATTTGTTCTCGAGAAAGTGCATGTCAAGAAAAAATATTTCGAAAACTGTCCTCAAATGAGAACAAAGGTCCTATAGACACTAGAAGAGAGAGGAATAGATAGATCTGATTATATCATGTTTGACCTATGGGTCTACAAAAAGAGCAGGTAGAAAAATTTCAGGTTTTTCTGTAGTGAAGCAAGCTCTATTCTCGTATAGGGAAATAGAGGTCCAGACATTTTCATAAAAGGCTCTGAGGTAGTTAATCAGGCATCTTGCGAAAGGGAAGCGGCACTACTCCACCCCACTGCGAGCCTAACTTCTCACGTCAGGTTTGCATGAACCACGATGCAACATAGACCAACCATAAATGAAAATCGTCCATCGCCTAGAGATGCGCCACAAAAAGCTAGACCTGCTATTTTTATATTGCTTTACGATGCAAAATGTGTAATGATTTATGCGTGGTTCTACTTTTGAGGATGGGCAGGACAATTGATGGCCATTAAATGGCTTTAAAGGCCCAGATGAGTTAAGTAGATTTCTTCGGCGAAAAAAGCAGGTGAATAACATGGAGTGTGCTTACAGCCTGAAGAGAGGTGGACTTCGTCAATAATTTACAGTAGCTATTAGGTTTGCACATTCAACGTGACCAGCATGAGCACGATAAGCTAGGAATGTGCTCGTTTTGTGAATGATGGTATAGACGTCGAGGACTACACAGCTTCAAGTCTACTGCCACCCCGTTCAAGTTTTTCTACATGTGTCTTCTTTAGCAATATTAGACGGTAGGCGCAAGGTGTCTTATCAAAACTTTCAAGTTAACGTGTCCGTTCATGATCTCTACACTTTGTTCATGGTTTCAATTCTGTTTTCTATCTCATATTACTCTTTGCCTTGGTTTCTTGTTTAAGCGCAACGATCTACGAATAGAGTACATGAGCACCCCTATACCGGGCGCTGCACTTTAAATCACGCATGGTACTAGGGGAAAACCTTAATGAAAGTATTCCGTTCTCGCCAATAGCGACTATAGTGTCCACGTTGACGCGGAAATGAATGCAGAAAGTGATGGTGATATGGCGTCTTTCACGGCGTGCCATGTGGTACTTAAATGGCTCACGCTTAGTTGAAAGATGGCATGTATGATATTCAATGGTTCCCTTGTCTTGTTCACTTCACAGTCGTTCTCACTTTCTAATACTCGCTTTTGTAAAGAACGTATGAATGGCCTCATCATCGTATTTTAAATTGCATGTGAGGTTTGGTAGAGCAACTACCACATGACAGGAACACAAGGATCGTCTACATGACAACAAGTCTAGCATTCGCAGATTTAGTAGACTTAACAACGCACGGGGCTTTTCTTTCGTCCAGAGCTCAGTTCATTTGTTCAACATCAAAAAGTCTACGCCCTATTGACTGTGGCATTGACATGCTAGTACTAGCAGTGAGAGGTGTATCAGACAGTCGAATGAATGGAATTTCATGTAAGTGACATGTGGAGAGTTAGTTTTGTACCGCACTGGCGACGAGGTGGAATCGCAACGGCTGAATAGACTCGAAACTCACCGATCCGTACCGGATGTACAGAAAAGAGTTCGCGTGGGCCCGATGCGTCGCAGGATATTTATGAAGAGGTTGTTTTCATCGAATGCCCATGTGCATCGGATGTTCTGCGCATTGTTCGCCGGAAAGGGCTGGGCTGGCTTGTTATTTTTTTCCAAAACAATTGGAAATTGTCCACTTGCCATATATTATTTTCTTGCGCGAGATCAATGCCATGGTTGCGATGGTGGTATTTTGCCGGAGATTAAATATTCTTTTGCCAGTGGACTTTCATCTCAGTCCGATGGGCATCTTCATGTGTTAAGAGCGTCTCCACCAATGCTGATGATGACGTGCGGATTGCAATCGGCGAATGCACGGCAATTGTCCTGTACATTACGTCTCGCACTGCCGCTCACATGCATAGAGGATGTAGTCGCACTGTCACTGGTGATGTAACACCGCCGTCTCTTACCACTGATGGCCTTCCATGCTTCCTTCGAATTACAAGTATCTGCATCGATCATACAATTGTATGATTCTGGCACTGGCTTAGGTTACGCCTCCTAGGTTACGCCTCCTACTCATATGTCGCGTGTACAGGTATAACACGTGCAGTTGAATCAAATGCAATCATTGGGCAACGGTTGTTACAGTACCCTTCTCATTGGCGTAGTGTGTGACACGGCTCAAATTGGGACACCAAAATTATAATGCCGCGCCGCATAGTTTCGCCATATGATTTTGCTAAATTATTTCGCAACGAATTAAATCTATTCGTTTGATGAAAAATAGTCATGCTCTGACAAACGGTCAGTTTTCTGCTCCTCATGCTTTAGCAGAGGTTTCCGTCGCTCTCAATAATGATTATGTGTTGCGCAACATTCTAAGAAAAGATGTATGCCTGTCAAAGAACCCCACACCTAAGAAATCTAATAGAAAATTCCTCGCAACAAGAAACGCAGCGACGGTTGGCAATTTGCAGTCCACTCGTGCTCGTTTGGAGGGGCGGAATCCTCCAAAGGCGCCCGTACCCGACGTTTATCACATTCAGGAGTATAATGTAGAGAATGATACTGCAAACAAAAAAAATAGTGACTCTCAAAAACGTCTGAAAGCGCAGTCTGCGGTGTCGCCTCTCGAAGACATAGTTGGCGACGACTTGCCAATCTGGCAATGGCCAAGAGCCCGAAAACAGCGGATGCAGGTTGAGGAAGGCGAGTTGTTTAGGACCCGCAAGCACACGGCAGCGTCGGCTTTGTTGGGTCTCTCCCATTACAGATGAAGCGTGAAAGACATGAGATTTCTCGTCGTCCCACTTTGACCCAGGCATAGTTTGGAGACCAATTCTCCCGTCCAAATAAAGGCATTTTTCCTCAAATACGCACTGCATTCGCATATTTTATCATAACTTCTTATGTGTCCCACATCAAGCCAATGAGAAGGGTACTGTAGCCGGCTGTTGAAACGTGTAGCGCTCGCGTTGGAAAGGGCCACGAATGAGCGTTGTCGGCATCTGTGACAACCGAATATCATCCGCCAACCCAGAATCAGCCACCGACAAAGATCTGAAAGAGATATTTATGGCGGGTGAACACTACTATTGGTTGCAGCACCGATACCTTCAACTGGCGGCGTATCAAGGTTGCGGAACCGCATGCACCGCCTTCCGGAGAGCAAGTGGTGTTGATTGTTGACTCCTCGGTGTGCCTCCTGCGCGCTCCCGCGGAAAAAAGCTCCTTTCGCCAGCAAAAACAACATACCGAGAGTACTTCTGCAGCTTGGTACCTCTTGAGGGCGCAGTCGGTGCTCAAATAGGACCTCAGTTGTAGTCGAGAACTCTTTTTCCGTTACCCTTACTCGCACTGAACGTGAACATCGCCAGGACCCAAGCCACACTTCCGCACACTGCCGCACACTGCCGCTCTTCCTTCACCTATTCGAAAAAGCCGGCTATCATGGGAACCATTCCAGAAGCGGGGGTGCTCCATAACCTCCAGCCCGCGATTGAGAATGCGGACGACAAACCCGGAAAGTGTTACACGGAGTTCCACCTCACGGGCTTCTCCCGTTTTCACAATGTGCCAATTAATCCCACTGAGCTCACCGTCAAGGCACTTGCTGGCTACATGAAAGACAACCCACCTCGGAATCGCGCGCTTCTAGCCTCGACTCGCGTTCTCAAAGTCGCGGCCGAGTCTACCCGCGAAGAGCTTCAAGCCATGTACAAGGGAATCGACACTCCGTGCCACCCTGTTATCGTTGGCAAGTCTCGTGCGGAGCGACGGATTGTTTTTGTTCACCTCGGCGTCAATGTCTGTGTGAGTCACTTTCAGTTGGAGATCCAGGGCAAGAATGAGGCGACTTTCGCATGTGCAGATGAGTTGGGCTGGAAGCCTATAAAACGACCGATCGACCCCAACAATTCGGACCTGTCCACAAGTTGTCAGACTACCCTGGAACTAGATCCGTTGATGGGGCTAATGCGACAAAAGGGGTTCAAGGTAGATTTATCAACCAACGCAGGACGATTTGTGTGTAACTGGGTGTACTACAACTCTTTGATGCTCGCGGAAGCGAACGGAGCAGCAGCTCTTTTTGTTCATGTGCCTCCTGCTTCTGTGGTATCTGTTGAGCGCCAAGTGCAATTCGTCGCAGAACTACTGGACACCATTGCAGCAATGCCGTAGGAGAGCACAATGACTCATTTTCCGCTTAACCTTCTTCAATGACCTGCCGCGTACGGGGGCTGGTGTTGTCTTCCGTCATATGTATGTCAAACTCGCATTCTTCCTTGATGTTGATTGTGTATCAAACTCCCTCTGCTGCTAGTGTTTCGTGAGCTGTCTTCATAGGATGCAAAAGCCATTGAAGATACTATTTTGTGTTTGGAGTGAAGGTGTCGCCGTGGCGTCTTCTGAAAATTCAAGAAAGGCAGCGAGTGTATGCATTCGTTATTGGTGAAGCAGATGTGGCTTATTACATTACCTTGGTGACGACGCCCGCTCCAATGGTACGGCCACCTTCTCTTACTGCAAACCGGAGCCCCTCGACCATGGCAATCTTGCTGAGCATCTCCGCTTTACACGTGACGTTGTCGCCTGGCATAACCATCTGGACATCATCCGGCAAAATGACTTTGCCGGTTACGTCGGCGGTCCGGAAGTAAAATTGAGGTGCGTAGTTTGTGAAAAATGGCTTGTGCCGGCCACCCTCTTCCTTTGTTAAACAGTAGATTTCTGCTTCAAACTTATTGTGTGACTTGATGCTCCCAGGGGCGCACAAGACTTGGCCGCGGGTGACATCTTCCCTCTTGATACCGCGCAGGAGGCAGCCCAGGTTGTCGCCTGCCTGCCCGACATCAAGGCTCTTCTTGAACATTTCCACGCCTGTGCATGCGACCTTGATGGTGTCCCTTAAACCGACGACTTCAACATCTTGGCCAGCTTTAATTGTACCTTGCTCGACTCGGCCTGTGACAACGGTCCCACGTCCCTGAATAGAAAACACGTCCTCGACGCTCATCAGGAAAGGCTTGTCGAGATCGCGCTTCGGCTCCGGAATATACTCATCAACTTCGCCCATGAGCTTCAGCACAGCATCACGGCCAATCTCGACCTTATTCCCTTGCAACGCCTCCAACGCACTACCACGTACAATGGGAGTGTCATCGCCTGGGAACTTGTAAAATGAGAGTAAATCCCTGACTTCCATTTCGACGAGTTCGATAAGCTCCTCGTCATCTACGACGTCACATTTGTTAAGAAAGACGACGATATGCGGGACGCCGACCTGCCTAGCGAGGAGGATATGCTCCCTTGTTTGCGGCATGGGCCCGTCTGCTGCTGACACGACAAGGATAGCGCCGTCCATCTGGGCGGCGCCTGTGATCATGTTTTTGACGTAGTCGGCATGGCCGGGGCAGTCGACGTGGGCGTAGTGGCGTTTCGGGGTTTCATACTCGACGTGGGCGGTGGAGATGGTGATGCCGCGCTTCTTTTCTTCGGGTGCTTTGTCGATCTGATCGTAGTCGGTGAAGGTGGCGCCGCCTGCCTCGGAGAGGACTTTTGTGATCGCGGCTGTGAGGGTAGTCTGTCGTGGTTGAAACACGAAAGGCAGGTCCAGGTCAGATTCGAAATGAGGGGGAGAGGGGTCGGGTATAATAACGAATTGCGGAACGAACCTTTCCGTGATCAACGTGGCCAATTGTACCGACGTTGAGATGAGGCTTTGTGCGTTGAAAAGCGTCTGCAAATGAGCGTGCCGGCACTGAGGGGGCTGAGGTTGCACGTACAACGCGAGCTACTTGTGAGGCAAGATGTGGGAGTCTGAACATGTTGACAGAAAGGGAGATCGGGGAGCGAGGGGAATGGGTACGATGCGGCTAACTGGGGCGGATGGATCGGCTGGCGTAGAAAGAAGAAACGGACGCGTTGCTCAGAGAGAGAGAGAGAACTGGGCGCCGATCCTGGCGAGTCGTTCCCAGAAGACACGTGTGATACTGGTTATACGTGGCAGAGCAGCATGAGCTCGCCATGCGGATTGAATTACAGAAATTGGATCTAAGGGGGCACACGTCGTCCATGTGTACAGCGTGTGAGGTGGTGGTTGGCTCTGAGCCGGAGGCTTCAAGTGGATTGGGACACCAAATGGCAGCCGTCATCTCCGGCTCCGAGCTACGTTCACCAGTGGCCGCGTAGCCTCGTCTACCTCAACTTGGTTTCGTTTCTTCGCGAGCACACCATCCGATTTCGCCGTCGTCCGCATCCCCCTTGCATCCATGAACATCGCCTTTGCGCATCCGCCAAACCCCTGCCCCCGAGCCGTTCACGCTGTCCCTAGGGTGACTCCGCGCCGCCTCCGCGCCCGCCACGCGCTCCCCACGCTGCGTCGAACGCGCCCGCGAAGCCTGCGCCTGTCCGCAGCCGCGTCTCCCTCGGATGAGGACCGCGCCGCTGCGGCCGCCGCAGCCCCGTCTAGCCGAAATTCGGATACGGCGGAAAGCTACTTGCAATGCGTCGAGTGCGCTGCGGTGTACGTCGTCGAGCCCGAGGAGCTCGAGGGCGCCCCGAGGGTAGTCGGCTGCTCCGCCTGTCTGCATGAGTGGTATGCCTCGGAGACTGACTTGTTGTGGGGGGAGGAGGAGGCGCTTTCAGCCCTGGCTGCCCATGCTTCGTTCGAAGCTAAGTCGAAGACAGTCAAGTCGGAAGGGGAGAGGGCCATTAATGCAGCGAAGGGCGTTGGTACTGCCATGAAGAAGGACGTGCCAGCTCCGGCGATGACTGCAAAGACGGCAGAAAAGAACAAACCAGGCGGGGAAAAGGACGGTGCACCAGAAGCTGCTGTTTTGAGTAAGGACCCGACGAGGGACTCGCCCGGAGAGAATCGGAGCTCTACTTCAAAACAGGAAGCAGACAAGGAGGGGCACTTCAATGTATTTGTGGGCAATTTGTCCTTTAGGGCCACCGAGGAAGATCTCTACCGCGCCTTTTCAGGATATGGCGCCGTCTTGAGATGCCAGGTACCTGCAGACCAATCTGGAGCCTCTCGGGGTTATGGTTTTGTTGAAATGCGTACCCGAGAAAGTGCTTTGAAGGCCATCGAGTCGCTCCAGGGGACGAGCATTATGGGGCGTGATGTGTCACTGAACGAGGCTCGCCCAAGGAAGGAAGGCTTTGTGGCCAAAAAGCAGCAATCGAGAACAGGTTGGTCGTCGCGTGCTCGAAGCAATTCGAGGGATTTTGCCAGTAGAGCTTCAGGAGATGGTCGCACCTCGCCACAATCTGGGTTTCGAAAAGATAGAAAGCAGCAAAAAGAAGGAACCAAGGACCGCTTGAAATACTCTAAGAACTCATGACTGCGTGCGTGGCTTGCCGTCAGCGTCGGTGTCGGCGTCTTTTTGGACTCTTACCGTGGATCTGGCAGAACAGCTGGCTGGGGTGCGTGGCTTGTTTATTGAGCAGCGGTACTTAATGTATTGTTTCAAACAATTAACCCAAACGGGAGAGGCACGGTTTGCAATTGACATATGGTAAATCTCCGAGCTTCCAAAGGGGACATAGTATGGAGCACATTTCAATAACTTCAATACTTGCAGCACTTGCTATTCGTGTGTAGCATAGACCACGATGTGTTAGAAGGGAGAACGCTCGGGATGGATGGCAGGAGGAACGGACGGCGTTTGGTGTCATAAATCGGCTCTTTAACGCAGCTTTGGGTCATCCACGTGGCGATGCTACAGTACCCACAATTCCTACCGCATACGGGAGGGTGCTGCACCGACTCAGAAAAAGAGGACACTGGGAGCCTCCGGAAATTATTTTTTGTGTCAGAGTCATATTTTTTGTGCACAAAAACTGAGTTTCGTCACGGAAATGCTTGGGCTCACAATGTGCGTCCCCCTACCTATACGCACAATTTGTACTCACTGGACGCCGACGATGACGCCGTCAAAGCTCTAACTAGAGATAATTTGGATTGTACGCGCGCGCATTTTGGCATTTGTGCGATACACTTTTAACCTAGCATGGGGTTGCCCGTCCGAGAAAACGGCGCGTTATGTGTGCACAACGCGCCGTTTGCGTGTTATAAAATCCCGATTTGGTCAGCACAGTTTGCGATTTTAGGATTTCAGGAGGCGCCCAGTGGGCGCCTGTGCAATACAGTGTTGAATCACCGCGCAAAATGAAACTTGGTCATGAGGATACATAAGCTCTCTTGGTATGGGGCTTTTCTTGAACATTAGGTGGAAACTAATGAAAGCCGCCTATCCAAACCTGTAATTATAACTGGACACGGGAAACATGACCCCACCGCCAATACTTGCCTATATCCATTTGCTGGCTTTCCGGACACCAAAGCATAGATCCTGTTTTGAGACCAAAGTCAGTAAACGGTATGGAACAAAAAGTGGCCTCAGCGACATTTCCATACCTTGTTGGGGCAGGTGTTAAGGTTGTTGTATGAATAGGGTTTCGCTCTGGATGGTGAGTGTGCGACCATTGCAACAGGACATCTCCCAACATTGGACGAGGGAGGAAAACCAGTCTTCCCTCGCTAAATGTTGGGAGATCGCGGGGACAAGAAGAGCGTCTTCATGATTGTACGCCAGTCACAAGACAGCGGGCTCCCATACATGTACAAGGGTATGAAACTCGCCGTTCTCCCCAAAAGCGTCTACGTCAGGGGGCAAGCTCTTGACAAAAGTACTATTGAAGCGATCACCCACTTTGACTTGCTTCATCCCTTTTATGTCCTTGTCAATGGCTGAGATCCTGACAGCGACGTTGGCCTCCGCTAGCTCGCGCAGGAGAAAATTATAATCAGCTTTCCACAGCGGATAGTGTAGTTTGGCTCCGAGAGAGCCCAGATGAGCATCTCGCCAGCATTTGATGTGAGCGAGGTGCAAATCGCCGAATACGAGACGCATGACCTGTACACCATTGTCTTTCAATTTGTCAAGGGCCTTCTGTACGCACGGCACATACTCCCCGTAAGCGACGGGTACGCCAATTAGCGGTAGGTCGAGGCATATGGCTTGACGCTTTACATCCGCAATATCGACTTCTTGATGAGCGACAATGCCAGTGTCTCCATTGTACGTAGTCAATAAGACGGGATCCCGGATAGACTCTCTTCGCAATTCTCGAAGCGCACAGAAACTATCTTTGCCACCGGACCAAAACACGATGTCGACCTCCTCTGGAAGGTCATCAAAGGAGCCGTTGAGGAGCTTGGGAGAGGCGTGGGCAGACCGTGAGGGTGGGCGATACGGGCAGTGGCGGCAGCCGCAGCCGCAACACTTGCGTTGTGAGAGATGGTAAGCAGAGAAGACGACGAGGCCTGTGGAGGGGTCCGTGTAGAAAGACTGCTTGTTCTGACACGCGACGCGATGCAATTCTTCGATGTCGGGGAGTGCGGATTCCATGTGGGACTGAGCGGGGTACATGTGAGAAGTAGGGAAAGGTAAGACATATCGGGGGGTTTATGATAAAACGAGGGCCTGCGGGACGACGGTCGGGAATTATTGGTTTTGGTTTTGGAGTCGGTTTGGGTTTATGGTATTGTTGGCCCGGTGCATGAGAGACGTGTTAGGGAGGAACCGGACAGTGTGAGGTGGATGGGCAGTTGAGAGTTTGAAGGATCAGCTGCATTCATAAACGATCATGAGGTGGGAAAATGGTGACTGAACCAATGAAACAGCTCCCTTTATATTGATCAAATTCATCATCCCTGTGTGTCTAAATGTTGTTTGACATCCCCTTTTATTTGTCACCTCCCCAGATGATGGACACACATGCGGTGCAGTGCAGTTAGTGGGTGTTAGTGGGTGACCCCGCCACAGCCAGGCCAGTGTCTCTCTCTTTTTTTTCTTTTAGACATGCCCTTGGGTACTTTACTGTATCCTAGATTGCTTTTCCGAAGTGTGTCGTGCCTTTTTTCAAACTTGATGTTCGTTTTTCAAGAAATGTTCCCTGTCGTTCTTGTACTTCTGAAATGAGCATAAAACAAACTTCAACACTTCCTCCAATCCCATTAACATTGATTATCAGCCGTACTTCTCTGTATGCGTTTCCTCGTTTATACACACACATGGATCCAGCCCGCGGTTGAACGTCAGCTATTCTGGCATGTCTTCTGCAGAACGTTAAAAAGAGTGCGAAACGGGTCCACAATACAAACTCTGCACAACTAGTTAAGTTTTCATCGGTAACGAGGAGAGTGGTTGCACAGCATCCTTCGGTTACGGCAAAAATTGAATTGGATGTCATCGAAAAAGTCAGAGCCCAGCAAGCATCACTTTATTAGCGCGCAGCCGTGATCGAGCTGACAATTTTCGCAGTAGGCAAAGAAAAGAGCTTTCTCTTTCTTTTCCGAAACGATCTTGCTTCTTCTTGAGTCCTGCACACATCAACATCTTGCGGGGGACAACCTCTAAGTTCAACTACTTATCTCAGTCATGTCCACAGGAAGGCACACCACATATAATCAATTTCAGGACGAAGGTGGTGGTTCCTTCAAAGAACGCCATGATGACGCGTACCATTCCACCGCAAGACTCGAAAATCCATATAACCAGAACAGGACTGGGAATTACAGGCAAGGCAGTAACAACAGCGACCGCGCGTACGGCGACGGCGGTAGAAGCTCATATCAAGAAAGACAGCACGGTGGAAGTGGATATGGTTCAAGGTCCGATTCTCGCAGCTTTCGCGATGAAGATATGGGATACGGCAGGGGCTATGACAGACGCAGTGGCGATGACTACTATCCCAAACGAAAATTCGACGACCATATCGATGAAGATGCCCGAGGTAGAAAGCGGCAATATCAAGATCAAGACTACCAAAGAGGAGGTGGAGGAGGGGGGAGGGGTGACTACTATGGATACAGCAAACCCTTGAATCAAGACCGCTTCGAGGGCAACGATAGAGGATATTACGGCGGTAGGTATGGAGACCGCAACTCAAGGGACAAGTACAGTGATGGCTATGGTAACAGATCACGCCGCTTCGACTCACATGGACAACGATCTACAGTTAGCTATGAAGAGGTTGACATGGAACGTGTTGGAGATGGGGTGATGCACTTGGAAGTTTCCAGTAATGCCAGAGGTAAAGCAGGTTCACAAGAGGACACGGACGACGCTAAAGCATTCGAAAGTGAGTACCCATTTGGCTTCGTGACACTTCTGCCTCAAGAGTGGAGCGATTACGATGAGCCTCCCCCGCTCTCCCCATTTGGAGATGACTACTTAGAGTCAAACAAATCCCAAAACGGCGGAGAAAAAGAGGATACTTTGGAGACTGAGAACTGATTTGACCCCGATCTAGCGCTCCTGAGCTCATGTAGTAGCAGAAATAGCTCTGCGCGTAGAACATCTTTCACTTGAAATAAATACTCGGCAGCCCTTCGCTTGAAAGAACGTACGCAATGATTGCAGAAGGAACTTGAGAACTGGGAATGAGTCTATTGCCGTTCACACGCACAGCCTCACTGTTGCAGACAGAAAGGTGTTCCCTGGTAATCTTTACCATCCGGTGCTGTACTACTACTACTAGTAGAAGAAAGTCAGTGAAGATACCCCTACCACACTGAATCATGGCGAAAGAAAGGGTTGAAGGTGGAAAAATCCCGGCAATTAAAAAGGGCCAAGGATTTATTGATGACCGTAACCACTGGTCCATATATAAAACAACGGACAAGACTCGAAGATATTCAGAATTGACAGGACTGCAGGGCGAATTCGCAAGAAGCTAGCGGTACTTACATTGAAACCTGTTCAGCTTTCCCGCGTATGCAATCTGCCATGGTCTCTTCCATATAATAGTTTTCGAATACCTTCAAGTCTATGTCGGTTGTGACGATGCTCGTGTTGGAATAACCTCTGGCAAGACCGACCTGAGACATAATGGGCATGACTCGTGACGGGAAAGGTCCTCACCCCCCAGCCATGTGAGAATGCAGTGGTCATGGTACAGATGAGAGCAGGGCAACCTCCGTGTCTCTTCGCCTCCCAGCAAAGAGTTTTGGCAAATGACGCAAAATATTCGCATCGAACTTGAAGGGGATGGATCTGGGTGATAGATCACTCTTGGTGCAATATCTTCGAGAGCTACTGCAATCGCTCTAAACATAAGAATCATGACCTTCCGATGGTTGTTTTCCGAGGCTACCGCATATGGTGTTCTGTTATCTTCGTCTTGCGCATGTACATCGGCACCATACCTCAAAAGAGCCTTAACGGTTTCCTCATTTCCATTCGCCGCCGCAAGATGAAGCGGTGTGACGTTTTTCTTATTCACTTGAGATGGGGCAGCCCCACGCCGAAGTAACAGTCTGACGTTTTGGTAGATGCCTTTGTAGCAAGCTTTATGGAGCGGGGTTTCTTGCTCATTATCGACAAGATCAAGCTTGGCTCCATTTGTTATTAGTAATTGCATGCTAACACGACCTTGTTCCCTGCCAGCCGCAATATGAAGCGGGGTTGCGTTTTCGCTATTCATCATATTAGTGCTGGCACCTGCTCTCAATAGTAGCCAGATTATTCTTGCGTCACACATGAACGATGCGATGTGCAAAGCTGTTAATCCCAGCTTTCCGCAACAATCTGGCGCTACATTGGCTGCTATAAAACCATTGACCACTTCATACTGGCCATGACGTGTAGCTAGTTGTAGAGGCAGGTAGCCCGTGTGGTCTTCGAGCATGTAGTCAGATCCACCAGCAAGAAGACTCTTGCAGACCTGCGCATTTCCGTTCAACGCGGCAAGGTGAAGGGCTGTAAAACCATCTCCCTTTTGAAGGTTAGGATCCGCCCCTGCTTGTAATAACAAAGAAACGATCGCTGCGTTTCCAAGTCGGGCCGCAAACATCAAAGAAGAAAAGCCGTGATACCGTCCTGAATTGGACAGAGTTTGATTCGGATCGCAATCGTGCTCTAATAATAGTCGGACAACTTCAGGATGACCGGCATCGGCGGCAATGTGCAGGGGCGTCATCCCATCCGCGCGAATCAGATTGAGGTCTGTCTTGCCCTTTAGCAGCGCTCTTGCGATCTCGTCGTTTCCGTTTTTACAGACTATGTGGATTGGTGCGAGGCCCTCTTGATTCTTCTCATTCGGCGGGGCTCCGAGGTCTACGAGCCTCTCAATCGATTCAAAATTACCCTCCCGAACGCATGCATGCAACAGGGTATCCCCTGTCCTCTGTGATTCCAGGCGAAAAATTTGTAATCGTGTTGCGTGCTCAAGAGTTTTGATATGGTTGAGAAGAATAGTCAATTGGATGAAGTCTCTTCGTCCGAGCACAAGAAGACACGGCGTCAGAGGGGTGTCGAGATGGATTGTCAAATCTGCGCCGTTTGCGAGAAGCCTGCAGAGAACCTCCGTGCTTGATGGCTGGGCGCAGGCAAGCAACACTGCGGTTTCGTTGTCTTCTGTCTTTGCGTTGATGTCACATCCCGCTTTGACGAGCACATCTACAGCTTTCGGAGAACTGAACCTGGCGCAAACGTGAAGAGCAGTCCATCCATCATCATCAACAGCGTTGGAGTCCAGCATACACTGGTCGACAAGAAACTGCAGAGTTGAGATACTACCATCCCCTGCCTTTACAGCCTCGTGAAGCACGGTCCAATTCTCAATGTCTTTTGATGCCACGTTGGCACCTGCTTTAATAAGCAGCTGCAAGCAGTGCTTCGAACCATGTCGAACGGCCATAAAAATGGGGGTCTTGCCACTGTCGTTCATGTCTTCCAAAGCATTATGAAACTCAGGGAATGAGAGTAAGTATGATAGAATGTCAGGGCGGGAGTGCGAGCATGCAAGATGTAAAAGCGATGCCCCGCGGTCGCGGTTACTTCGGAAATTACTTGTTGTTTGAGTCGCACCAATAGATACACCTCTCACGGCGTCTTGTATTGCCAGCTGCAAGGCCCCAAGGATATTTCTGTGATGCTCGGGTAGGTCCGCTGAAACTGCATCTTCATCATTTGAAGGTTCGGCAGCAGATGTACTGCTGGCCGACGAGGAAGCCTCTACAACGGGTTCCGTTGGATAAGTTATGGAACATTCCCGAACAGTGTATTTCGAAATGGCTCTAACCCGTTTCTCGGTAGATGATGGACCTTCACATTCTAAACCATTTTCCTCGTCGATTTTGGCATTGTCTTGCGCGATGAGGATTTTAACGCACTCAAGATGGCCTGCCTGCACCGCATGATGCACCGGTCGTCGTCCGTCCTTGCCCCACGATACAAAGTCGGCACCGCGCTCGAGTAAGATTTGCAAGATGTGTGGGTTACCCCTGCCAGCGCAGTATCGAGCGTGCGACCAAAGCGTCGGGTCGTGCTTGTCAGACTCGGCGGTGCTGTGCACTTCGTCGACATTCGCGCCAGCGTCGAGAAGGAGGGTGACTGCTTGGCTGTTGTTTGCACGCACTGCACGAGAGAGAGGCGTGAGGCCTATGCGGTCCCGAACTTTCCATCTGTTTCCATCTGGCGGGTCGATAATCTCCATGGGGATGCGGTCTGTTTCAGCCAGTTGCGCGCCAGCTGGTGGGGCGCCACATACAAGAGAGATTATCTCAGCAAGTATTCGGGTGTCGGCTTGTTCCGCAGCGACGTGTGACGGACTCAGTGCGAGCCATTCCGAATATGGAGGTGGGGCAGAGTGGTCGTCGGATGTCTGACTAGGTTCGTTGACCCGGTCGAGGAAAGATTGAGAAATGGGGATGAGGAGGTGGAGCGGAGAATATTGTGAGGAAGAGAAACACGCGCGGAGTCTACGTGTGTCTTGCTTGGAGAGAGCCGCTAGAAGTTCGGCTTCCTTGCTGGTGGTACCGCCCATGATAAGCCTGGACGCATGAGGACAAGCAAGAGGCAAAACGGGAGGAGACTAATGCAGTGCTAGGAGAGTAACCGGGGCCTCAAAAAGGTAGTACAGGGGAAGATTGAAAGGAGGGGCGCGAATAGTCGGCAACTGAAAGGATGACCCTTGCGCCCGAAGAGGGAGAAGAAAGGCATGGTGGGTAGGGATGGATGCTCTGGGACGCGACGCTATGAGAGGGTCATAGGGCGTCGCGAAAAGTGGGGGAATAATGCGGGGTAGAGGTAACGTTGGCCGTTGCTAGACATACGGGTCAAATGACGTGGGTTAGGCAAGAAGAAGATGGACGACAGTTCGTTTGTTTTGCACCACACCTGTTGAATTCCCTGCAACAGAAGCGAGACTTTCGGAGATTCCGACCTGAATCGGTGGTGACGTCGACAGCAGCGTCCTGTCACTGTGATTCGATAATTCCAGATGTGCATCGCTGGTGCCATCCCCCCACGATTGTGCCCTCAACTCCTATTAAAATACACGTGTACACGCACTCAAAAAAACAAAATGTAAACACTCCACATCCCCCGGAACACACGCTCAACACGGAGAACGCTTATCGTCAACAGCTTCAAAGTCCACGCTCTTCTTGACAGCGACTTCAATCTTCTCCAGTGTCTCCTTCGTGTCAATCCCTCCAAGGTCCCCAGTCTTCCGCGACCGAACACTGATTGTCCCGTTCTCCACTTCCGCGGCTCCCACAATGCCCATCAGCGGAACGCGCTCTTGTTCTGTATTTCGTACCATCTTTCCTAATCGTTCACCGCTTGTGTCAACCTCAACCCGCAGCCCCATTTTCCTTGCATCGGTTGCCACCTTTTCGCAATACGCCCTCGACTCATCCGTCACAGGCAATAGCTTGAGCTGGACCGGCGCCAGCCAAAGCGGAAACTCGCCAGCAAAACTCTCCACCAAAATCCCAAAGAACCGCTCCACGGAGCCGAAGATTGCGCGATGCACCATAATCGGCTGTTGCCGAGACCCATCCTTAGCTACATATTCCAGTTCAAATCGCTGCGGCAGGTTGAAGTCACACTGAATAGTGGAGCACTGCCACAAGCGTCCGATCGCATCCTTGATCTTCACGTCAATCTTCGGCCCGTAGAAAGCTCCTCCCCCATCATCGATTGAATAGTCCCACCCTTTCACCTTGAGCGCTTCCTCCAGCGCGTTTGTCGCCCGTTCCCAGATGTCATTCGAGCCGACGCTCTTCTCTGGCCGCGTCGACAACATGATCTCGTACTCTCTAAACCCAAATCGCCCGAGAATGCTCTCCGTCAAATCCAGTACGCGTTTGATCTCCCCCGCCAGTTGGTCAGGAAGACAAAAGATGTGCGCGTCATCCTGCGTGAAACCACGCACTCTCATCAAGCCATGCAACGTCCCGCTCCTTTCATACCGATACACAGTCCCCAGCTCGGCCCAGCGCAACGGCAGCTCCCGATAGCTCCGCAAGCCTTCTTTAAACACCAAACAATGAAACGGGCAGTTCATCGGTTTGAGCTGGTACTCCTCTCCCTCAACGTCCATCTGATCAAACATGCTCTCTGAGTAGAAGTCAAGATGCCCGGAGGTCTTCCACAACTTGACATTAGCAACGTGCGGGGTGTATAACAGCTCGTACCCATCATTCATATGCTGCTCCTTCCAAAAGTCCTCCATTACCCTGCGCACGCGGGCGCCCTTGGGATGCCAGAAGACCAGCCCCCCGCCGGCCTCCTCCTGCACAGTAAACAGTCCCAGCTTGCTCCCCAGCACGCGGTGGTCGCGGCGCTTCGCCTCCGCCTTGCGATGCAGATACTCGTCGAGCTGGTGCGGGCTCTCCCAGCACGTGCCATAAATACGCTGGAGCATAGCCTTGTTCTCATCGCCCCGCCAGTACGCGCCTGCGACGCTCTCCAGGGCGATGGACTTGGGGTCGAGCATGCCCGTATGCTCGACATGCGGGCCGGCGCACAGGTCCCACCAGCGGTCGCCGATGTGGTAGACGGTGATGGGCTCGGAAATGGCCGAGAGGATCTCGAGCTTGTACGGCTCGTCGATTTGCTCGATGCGGTGGCGGGCCTCGGCGCGCGAGATCTCCTCGCGCAGCAGCGGGAGCTTCATGCGGATGATCTTGTCCATCTCCTTCTTGATGCGCTTGAGGTCGCGGTCCGTGAACGGCTGGGCGACGTCGAAGTCGTAGTAGAAGCCGTTGTCGATCCACGGGCCGATGGTGACGTGCGCGGACGGGAACAGGCGCTGCACCGCCATGGCCATGACGTGCGCCGCGGTGTGGCGCATCCGCAGCAGGTGCGGGCTCTTGTCGTTCGTCGGTAGCACGAGCGGCGGCGGCGGCGGCGGCGCGGTGGCGGCAGCGGCGGCGGCAGAGGCGGAGGCGGCGGCGGCGGGCGCAGGCGCCGCGCGCGGGTCCTTCGCGGCCACGGAGACGGATAGGCGGCGCAACGGGACGAGGGTCGGCAGGGCAGAGGGGGAGGACGGGCGGGCGGTGGACGGGCGCAGTCGCAGCCACGAGGTGCGGGCCGTAGTCCATGCGGACGGGACGAAGAGGAGGCGCGAGGCCATTACGAGAATGGCAGCGGGGGTTGTGCCTGCGAGGGCGGAGGGCTGGGTTAAAGAAGGGGTAGGGGAATGGGGGAAGGTGCAAGTGCAGACGGGGGTGGCGAAGAAGGAGGCAGGTGGATAGGGGCGTGGTGCGGGTGACGGGGGGCCGGGCGATGGTGATCTCGGTGGCCGGCAGGATCCGGACCGGGCGGAGCGTGATGCTTACAGAAGCGCCATGCGGACACGTGTCCACGACTTACACGCGGGGAAGCGCTGTACAGCGCTGCACAGCATCGCATGCTGTATATTTATTTATTTATACGATGTGCGGGAATGCAGGCGCGAAGGTTTCTCCCGGTGCGCTCACGCGCGCGGTGCGTTTGCCTCGTCAGTCCATACATGCCCGTCCACGCAATCCTTAGAGAGGCCCTCTCTAAGGACGCGGCGGCTCAGGGCGCAGACGTGCGAGATGC